TTCATTTTGATTCTTTACACGTGTAATGATGTCCAGTGACTTGTTTGCATTATTTATGCATTATTTTATTTATTTGTAAGACTTTTTTATGACTAAATTTGGTAATGGGAGAGTAAAATTATTTTTAAAACGTACACCGTTCAAACTAGGCTGCTTATGTTGAAGTGTTTGGGATGTGGCTTTTAATGATGAGACCTTTTTTGTAATCAGGCTCTCAAAAAGTATATAAAAATTTGGATATAGATTTATCGGCCAACATATCGGTTATCGGCTTTCAAAAATAAAGAATTATCGGTTATCGGTATCGGCCAAAATTTTCATATTGGTGCATCCCTAATACTGACAGATGTAGCTCTTGTAATCACACATGCAGCAAAAGCAGATTTACAAGCACAAACTTATGAAGGAGCAGCAAATTGAAGTCTGAACTACAATCTGAGGTCCGAACCGCTTCCAGAATGATTCTCAAAGGTGTATTTGGAGGCATATGTTTAATTCAGCAGGTTCAACTCAACATGCTAGATCGTCCACAGACAATGTGGATCGTCAAAAGCCAAAAATAGGATTTATGCTTCTTTTTGAGCTCTAATTTGGGTTTGGGTTTAGAAACAAACACATACCATGAGCATTGCACAGGGTTCCCGTTCCTTTGGAACAATTAACTTCCATGACTTTTCTAGGACTTTTTCAGTCATTTGTAAGGGTTTTTAAAAATTATTTAATAGAGAATGTATGCACTCACAAAGAAAAATAAAATATAGCTAATATAATTTTAGCCAAGAGTAACTAGATAAAATAAATATACTATAGAAATTGCATGGCCTTTTAAGACCTTTCCAGGCCTGGAAATCACAATTTTAACATTTTGAATGACTGTGGGAACCCTGTTTATAACTATAAAAATCAGCAGTGCATTTCCACCAAAAGGATAATCTAATACCTTCCAGAAACTACTAAACTAAACTTCTTTTCTACTGAATCAATCATTAATAGCGTATAACCATTAAACTGAAGAAGCCAATGAAGACCATGTGTGTGTCCTTCATGTTATGGCAGATTTATTCATTTAGCAGATGCATTTATTCAAATCAGCTTATAAATGAGTACAAATACAAACACATTAATCATGAGGAAACTGTGGAAAAACGTCCAAAATAAACATCCAAAATCAGCAAGAGAAATACTAAATGCATTCTGCATTTACAAATGGAAAACTCAGGGGACTCAAAAATTAATTTTCTGTCATTATTTACTCATGCTTCAGGAATATAGTATGAGTCATATGGCCCATGCACTTACGGTATTCTTCTGAAGTTTTTGAACATTACATTTTCATTTTTGGGTGAAGTTAAACCACTACAACACATCATCTCGCCACTACCATCCCAAATCCTCATTACATCTCATTAGCTCGTCATCTGACATCACCAGCATGTCTTTGAGAAGATCTCGTTCCAAAACAACATACATTCAGTCAAGAAACTGGCTAAAATAGAGGTTGAAATGACAAGCAGCTATAAATATTTCCTCCCCGACACAGTATTACAATGTTTCTGGGATCATTTTCTAATTTATTTTTCAATTATTCACACGAGAAGAGACCAAACAGAGCGAAAGATTAGCAATTCTTTGTATGAAGGAGAAAAAAAGAGAAATAATTCTACC